GCTGAACCAGAATAAGCCTGAAAACTGCCTCTTCTGGTGGTACAGCAACCTTAAATGTTCAGTTACTTTCAAGGCATTCCAGTAAGCTGCATCTTCTTTTGCTTCTGCCTGTGTTCATAAGTAGATGTCACCCAGAAGCCATTTATACCTGCAGATGCATATCTGAATTTCTATTATTTTTGTGAACCTATTGAAATAACAGGCTTATATTGAAACATCTGTCGCTTGTGCATGTTGCCTTACAGGGCTTTCTGTTCTGTTCTTTCACAGAAGAGCATTAACACCTTTCTAGTTCTGTTCAGTGAGCCCTTCTGTGGATTGTGTTCCTTCATTTAGTGAACTTATTCCCCTTATGGAATCCAGATTGGCCATATATTTGTAATCTCTTGCAGGTAATGAATGAAAAGCTTCAGCACTGCATGGAGCTGACAGACCTCATGCGGAATCACCTGAATGAAAAGCACGCTCTGCGCCTCGAGTGGATGATAGTAATACTCATCACCATAGAGGTTGGTGGGGTTTTTTCCACTATCATACTGAAAATGTAGAAGCAAGTGCAACTTATATACTTCATAATTTGAGAATCAAGATTATTAATAATTATTGATATATTATCATATAATGTATTACTAATAATAATTATTAATGTAATATACTGTACAAGGGGATTAATTAGTCTTCAGTTCTTTGCAAGTAACTTTTGAGTTGCAGCTATAGTTATTGTTCAGATTATCTCATTTACAGTGTAAGCTGTTTTAAGGATTATTAAATCAAAGGAAAATTCACATCAGTGTGTTTGCTATTCCACAGGTTCTGTTTGAACTTGCAAGGGTAATTTTCTGATGATGGAATAAACTCGGGAAGAAGAAAAGTGACAAAACCATAAAGACAGTGTGGTCCAGAAAATTTGTGGCTATCATATGCTTCTGGAAAATAGTGGAATTGTCTCTTGATAAATATGTACATCTTCTACTCAAATAAAAAATTTAAAAAAAAAAGAAAATCAGTCTGTGAACATTATTCTCAGCTGCTGTACTAGTGATGTTAGAGAAGTCTTAATCTACGGATGTGCGAGTGTAAAGCTGAGATGCTAATGACGTGTTTGTAGGGGAAGTTTTCTAGTGAGTAGCCCTGGATGTGTGCAGGACTGATGCAGGGAGAGATTTAGCTTTATCTCCTTGAAAAACAAGGACAGAAGGATGGATCCCTTCTGTCTGTTAATTCTGACTCCTACTTTGGTGAAGGACACGGCTGCTTTGTCCCCTGGACAGTTATAAAGATGCTGCGCATTTGTGCATTTCTGATGGATTATGAAGTTTTCCCCAGCTCCTTCTTGGACAGACATGACACTGTCTCAGGCTTGGAAACGGCACTACTCTTTGTTCTCCTTAAGTTACTTGGCATGATTTAATATACCTGGCAGGTATATTTAATGTTATGCCCTACCCCATCAGAAAAAGGTATTTACATGCTTGTATGGGAACATATTTATTTAGAAGGTATTTATATGAAAGGGGAACTAACTGACCTTCTATCTGAGGTCACAGGAAGCTGTAGCAGAATGAGAAACTAAAGCAAGGTTCACAAAATTTCTCTATTACTAGACTTACTTGATTCTTACCAGTACAAGTTGCAAGGAGTGAATTAGCAGAGGGTGAGATGTCTTAATTATCCTTTTAGGTAAAAGTTTTTGGGGTTTTTTCTGTTCTGGTTTTTGTTTGTTTGTTTTTAATCTATTCCTAGTTTACAAGTCTGTAGAATTTTATCACTTTCTTGGATGAGGGGATGTTTTTTTTTTTCCCCCCAGAAACTTCTCTTTCTTAACATGTTTTAAGGAACTACTATTTTATGACCTTTTTCAAAATCGGGTTGGTCCAGCATATTCCGTCAGGAACATAACCTAAGAATTCTGTTAAAAGCCCCTGAAGCAGCATTAACAAGACACACTGACTAAATTCAGGCTCGCAGAGCTATTATGTTTGCAGTAGCTTGCTGTTCTCTCTTCACCTGAAAACAGTATTTCTGAGTGTGAATTGGACTCCTGTTGAATACATAAAACACAAACACAGGGAAGAGAATAGAGTCAAGCAGAGTGAGGAAAAACATCTGACTACAAAGGCATCCTTTTGCCGTAAGTATTGTTACCAGTGCTGCGGGAGCCCTGGAAGCAGCAGCTCCTCTTAAGAGCAGGCTTCAGCTGCTGAGAAGGTCTGAACCATCAGCCCAGCTCACAGGAGTCGGTCAGCAGAGCAGCTTGGTAGCAGGGTTATAGTCAATAGCAGGAACAGCTCCTCTGCATCAATCTCCTGACTTACCCAGGGTTATTGTAGAAATAGTACATTAGATCCTTTGTGCATTAGTAAAATTTACCAAGCACCACTTAATTCCAGTAATAGAGAATTAGGTTACATTTTAATTGTAATTTTTCACTCCTTTAGCCAAATAGGCTTTTTCCCCCATTTGAGTGTAATACTTAGAACATAAGCTCCCATTCATCTCACATTTAATGTTTCAGTATTTCAGCTAAATTGCTAAAATGTAAATTTGCAGGCCAACTGCATCTATTGGGAAAAGTGGTTTTAACAGTCATTTGAGAAACTCATAGATGTTCTTTAAAAGCATGAGTGTCTGGGTGGATTATCTTGAGTGTTCTGTCTTGGGATTGTATTTAAGAGTTACCAAGTCAAACAACTCAAACCAAGAGAAGCACTGTTACTTTTGAAACCTTTAATCAGTTTCTATCAGCCATAAAAATCCCACTCTCTTCTTCCCGCCAAGCCCCCAACCCCATTTACTGTGTTAAGTGGCTGCTCACAGTTTTGCAGCTTTGGTTAAGCCTTAATTGTACATTAAAACTTCAGAGCCGTCTTTTTCACAATGATGTACCCAGTGGCAGCTCCATCAAAGCACGAGGGGTTGTGGTTTTTTTTCCTCACAACTAACAGTACAATCTCTTACAAAGAGAATATTCTCACTGTATTACACATGGAGAACCAAGACCAAGCAGGGAAGTTGAGTGCACCAAGAACTTGAGCTTTCACAGCACAATACACACAGAGAGCCGAGCCCTCCTGCAACCAGACAGCACTTGGGAAACTTCCCCACCTGCAGTTGTGGTTTCTGCTTGAACCTGGAGATCTTACAGGGACCCTGTGTGAGTGTACACATGGCCTGAGCAGGAGGAAGTTTTATGGCAGAAGCAAGATGACTCCAGAAGCAACACAAAACTGCCTTAGCTGGGAGCACACACCTGTCTTTCATCCACCTCATCCTCCACACGCCTTCACAGGGGAACTGAAAAGAACCATTTTCAGTACACTGCTTGCAGTTGAGTCTTTGCCAAAATGGGTCTATTCTAACCAGTAAGGGTCACCTGGGGGGGGAGATGCAATAGCAATAAACACAGAATATAAAAGGAAAACCAGAGAGGAATCCTGGTATATCTAGAAACATCTAAAGTTTTAACCGTTGTAACAAAATTCTGTTCATATGGAACCTTGACAGACCATCCTTTATAAGGATCCCAACTGTGCAGACTGCTTCTGTCTGTGCTTTTTTTTTGTTTCCTCCAATCACATGAGGTTAAAGGACAACTTAAGAGACTATTTTATTTGGCACATCTGCTAAAAAGTTGTTATAAGAGTAGCTATTTGTAAAACAGCAAAGAATGCTGAAAGACAGGACTCCTGACTTCCAGTCCCACTTTTGTAGGGTAACAGCTCTGCTGGCTGCAGTGGGTCCCTGTTCTCAGCTGTGGTGTTCAGCACGTCAGCCCCGCTGGCTGCATCAGCAGCTGCATGTACAGGACACTTCCCTAGATCTCTGCAAAAATAACTTCTGTTCAGTCACAGAATCACAGAACGGTTGAGGTCGGAAGGGGCCTCTGAAGGTCACCTAGTCCAGCCACCCTGCCAGAGCAGGGACTCCTGGAGCACATGAACCAGGATTTTGTCCAGATGGTTTTTCAATATCTCCAGGGAGGGAGATTCCACAACCTCTCTGGGCAGCCTGTTCCAGTGCTCAGTCACCCTCACAGGAAGTAAGTTCTTCCTTATGTTCAGGTGGAGCTTCCTATGCTGCAGTTTATATGCCCATTGCCTCCCATCCTATTGTTGGGTGCCAGCTCATATCAGCTTTGATGAGAAAGATGACATTCTCACCAACTTCAAGTGTCTGCCTGAAACAAAAATACAAGAACACTAAAACTTGTAAGAGTCTCTCCTTCCCCATCCTACCTCAGTCACAGGAACCGAGCAAACTTCAGCTCAAACTTTTGTAAGGGGGCGGGGGGGAAGCCAGATACTTTGTGCCCACCTAAAGGAGTTTATTTACTGATAGCTAAGTAACAAAGTTGCCCTGTAAAGGAATGTATCAGACATGAAAAGCAGACACAGATGGATGTCCTTGGTAGTGATAACGGCTGGGGGGAACCTCTTCCCATCTATGGGAAATTAGAGTATTTATTACAAAAGGCACTGGGGTACTGAGTTTGCCAGCTTACTTTTCTCGGTCAGTTTCCCCAGACCCTCAAGATACTGTCCAAGTCTACAGGCTGGAAACTACTGGTCTGTGATGTAGGTATGTCTGTGGGGATGTACAACCTTCCTTCACCATCTGCCAGGAGTCTCATTATCCTTGTCTACAGATGCGTTTATGATACTTGTGTCACAACTACCAAAGAGACATGCAGAGTCTGAGGTAGCCAGAGACAGTAAGTGATATAAGTAAGTGGAGTTTAAACACCAAAACACTTCTTATCTTGGGGGAAAAAAAAAGAAAGCTTAACTATCTAGAAAGGGGGAAAAGTGTCTGGAAATGTACCTAGTCCCAGCTGAGAAAAGGGATTTTAAGAGACTGAAATTCTTTACAATCATCAGGAAAGCAAAGAGCCTTGGAGAATAACTCTGCCACAGTCATACCCTGCATGAGGTAGCCTGTTTCTCCCAATCGCCCAAGTGCCTGCCGGTGACGTACTTCTTGACATCAACTGTGTACCCTACTACACATAAAATCCAGGTGGCTAGATCTCAGAAAACTAAGCATTTCCAACAGTTTGGGGTCCTCCAAAGCTTTTGACAGGGTAAGAGTTGGACAGACTTGGTCACACCGGGGTAACAGAACAAAAAAATCCCCTCTCCTCACACAGGCAGCATGACACCCACTCCCATTTCTGATTCTTTAAACAAACTTTATTAAACAAGCTTAAAACAAGGACAAGCATTTTTTTTCCTTCACTGTTTTGAGCCACTGAAGGTATCACAGCTATAGCTAGCACCACTATTTCTCTCAGCCTGTGTATGTCCATCTCCAAGCTCCAGCCATTCCAGAAATGCATTTTCCAAACTGGTGAAATATGACTGCTACACAAACGATGGTGACCCAGTTGCTATCACACCTCAAATACTTTAACACTTTCCTAACAAAGCTTGGGTCAATGCTGATGAACTCTCTCTTCATTCAAAACTTTATTAAGTATCTCATGAGCTCAAAGTCACCATTTAGATGATATTACATAGTACTGGGAACACAGGGTCAATGCTATTTCACTTACAGCTTCTTTCTCTACAGAATACCTCAGCTGCAAGGGCCTTAAAC